ATCCTTCAAGGAACGTGGAAGTGCCCCAAGATCTGTCCTGGACAGGACAAAATGGATTCGAAGGTTTTATACCACTGTGTGCAACCAGGATGGCAATGAAAGAAACTTAAGAGTTTTTAAAGGGGTGTGGAATCTCTCTTTCATATAAAAAAAAAATGGCATTGAGTCTTTTTTACCTTTTTATTCACTTAAAAGGCTAAACAAATTATTTGTCTCTAGCATAGTGATGTGCCAGTGATTTTAATGTCCCGTCTGACACTCTCCTTGTGTGTTGTGCATCATGGGGTTGTTAGCTAATGTTTGCTGAAGGACTGTCTGGACTGCCAATGTAAAAGCCGTGGTAGCCCTGGATCCTCAGCTTCAGCCCTTTGAGCATGTGACAGATAGCTAAGCTTCTGCTTCCATCATTTCTGTTCTTCATAATGATAAACTGAGGAAGGTGGCTGCAAAATAGAAGGCCATTTTAAAAAGCTAAATAAAAGTCATCACTTGCATTGGTGAATCTTGAGTCCTTTAACCCAAAGTTAGAAATATTTTTAAATTCTGTTTTAAAAAAGAATGATTACTTGCGAATTCCAAATAGCTGTCATATAAAGTTTTGATAATGTGAACTTCAAGACTGATTCCTCTTTTTTGCAGTTTTTCTGGATGCAACAACTTACTAGAAAAGGTAAAAGCTATTCATATGTACCTCCATATTCACATTTATGAATATATATATATTTGCTCATCTTTTTCTCCCTCCAATAAAGCACCCTATGGATTTCTGAATAACCTCTCTTATCTTAAGGCGATGCTTCTGGTGAAATGAGTATATATGCTAGCTTGTTTAAGGAACATCATATCACTGGGAAACGATTGCTTCTTCTAGAAGAAGAGGATTTAAAGGACATGGGAATTGTTTCCAGAGGACACATCATCCATTTAAAGGTATTTTAACAGCATATGTTGAATGTTGCAATAGATTATAGTGTGAATATTAAGAAGGAAGTCTATGGATTTTCAGTGGTATTAACAACAACAACAAAAAATTACAAAGCTAAATGGAGAACATATTTGGTATAAAAACCCCAGAGTTACAGGTTAGTATGGATCTAGAAACCAAAGCAACCTGAGCATTTTGAGGCACAAAAATGTACTGCGGTCTTTATGCTCCTCTGCAGCTCTTGGTTTTCTTGTGGGCTGGACTGTCAGTACTGTTGAAGGTTTGCCTAGGAGGGCCATTCTCCTAGCAGAAAGTTTTGGATATCTTCAGAGAGAGTTCTACCCAAAGATTTCTCTTTAGCTGAGGGAGGAGCAGGCATGAAAACAGTTATTTGGACTGAAATCTCTGAAGTTCCTAACTTTCACACCTCATCTATAGCTTAAAAGATACTTTGACTAGCAAAACTCTGTTAGACAGCTTCAAAGCTGTTTAACAGCTAGGTTGCTTTGCTCTTAAATCTTTGTTTCACGGTGTTTTAAATATCTAATGTTTGTAATGGGTTAAGAAAATCATGGTCTGGAAAACATGATCACAACAGCAGTAATAGTATTAATACTGTAGCCCCAGGAGAGAGTTCAGTTTCCTGGTGGTCAGCTTTGGAAAATGATTTCTTTGAAAGCAGCAACTGTAATTCTGTTGGGTCTCGATGATCTTATACCACAATTTACTACTAAAGAGATACTTGTATTCTAACTGCTAGTCCTGCAAATTTAGCTTTGCAAGTCACACAGATTTATTCCCCTTTTGCTCATCAGCCGTTTTTTCCATGCCGCACACCATTACTGATATATTTAATTTACATTTCCTACGGGGAAAATTATTGAAACTTAATACAGTCAATAATGCCCAAAATGAAAGATTTCAGCTTCCTGGGTTGACTGAGCATAAATAAAAACAACAAAAACAACCCCCTGAACATCTCTTTCTCTGATTAAGCAGATCTGATTCTGAATGTGAAGTGGGGCTGATCTACCACAACAGGTTCCAGAACAGGGCTGTATTTTAAACTCTTCTCACATGCCCTAATGTATCCGCAGTGGAAAACACAGTGCACATGGCGCTGTGCTGTTTTTCATGCTGGTATTTGCAGTGTGAGATACTGAATAAGTCTAATCTGATTTTATTGATTTTTTTTTTTTCCTAGACGGCTATTGAGAAGTTAACCCATGACTACCTAAATCTGTTTCATTTTCCACCATTAATTAAGGTAATTCTCATTGTTTATGTAAGAAGCGCTTCTTGTGTTGGTATGAATATTTTACTGTTCTCGTGTCTCAACTTTCCTGTCGCTCACGGGAGGGTGAAGCAGCAGTTCCTGCAGAGGGCTGTGACGATGCGGAGGGTCAACAGCAGTGATGGGTCTCATCAGAACAAGTAATAGGATAATAAAAGTTGTTTTCAAGGAGGCTCTAAGATTTTATCGTGGAACTGGTAGTATTAAATTAAAAAACTACTGGTTGCGATTCCTTTGCTGTCGTTAATCAGAAATTACTCCTAAGAGCCACTTCTCCGAACTGGTGCCACCGACTGCTCACCACCGAAGAATGGCAGACCCCTGGCCCGGAATGAGCTTGTCATTCCTCAGTTTGTTAACGTTACAGGAGAGAAGGATGATTTATAATGTGTGGTCACCCTTGTGTTAACCTGGTAGTTTCCTGGTATCGGTAACAAGAGCTGTGCAAAAGGGAGAGAGTGTTTGGGAACCTCAGGGTTGCCAGAGCAGATATTTGCCTGATTTAGTTCAGTGAGCTAATCAAGCAATTCTAGACCCCAAAACCTGAAGTATGTTTTTTAGTCATAATTTATTACACAGCTATAGAGTGAAATCCACTTAAAGTGAATTTACATACGGTGAAACTCTGTTCCCTGAAGGGGAAGATGAAAGCCGCTGTGCTGTGCTGGCTGCAATTCCAATGGCAGTGGCTGCCATGATGCCCACAGCAGCACCGTGCCGTGCCGTAGTGGCTTGGCCAGGAGCAGAAATCACACAGCATCTCCCAGGTGCCATCCACTGCTTGTCCTAAACCCACGCAGAAGCCCTGGCCCCTCTTGGAACAGTGTGATCGGGATACAGTGATGGCTCCTTCCTGCTGCCTGCCAGACTTGTAGCATCTGAAAGGCAAATCCTTTCTCCTACCAAAGGCCTTGCTCCTGTCTCCCAAGGGGTTGTGGTAGATGTGAAATCTCACCTCACCTTTTTTTTTGGCAGGATTCTGCAGGTGGAGCTGAAGAAAACATAGAGAAAGTAGTGAATCTTGAACTTGTTTTTGGTTATCACTTGAAGCCAGGAAATGGTCCAAAGGTAAGCTGGGAGCGCTAGATCGGTCCATTTGGTTAACAGTCACTGCCCAGAGGGTCCAGTGTCTTCTGGACACAAAAAGATAATTTGCTGTGAGAATCCTCTTGTTTTGGAAATGCTGACCAAATGTCGAGGTGGCAAATGGAGCTGCATCGGTGATGGGGAACCGCACCCCAGGGAAGGCGAGGAAGAAAAGAGTGGCACAGAAAGCTTTGACTGAAAGCTTTTGTTTCCTCATGAACAATTTTTTTAACCATAATTTTTTTAATTTGGGTTTTCACTTTGTTCCTTTATCACAACGGGTGTGAAATAACAATCCATTTATGCAAAATAACCCATTCACAGTTGAGCAGTACCATACGCCTGATGTTAGTGGATGGACTATTGCTTTTGTCTCCAGAAAGGTCGTGTCTTTTGATGCAACCAAGAGGAGTTGGAAAATACGTGGTATGCATGGCTGCTGGCTGTGGAGGACGGGACTGGTCCTGGTGGTGACTGTGTTCACTCACGGTACTGGGGAAGGAGGAAGGGGTAGGTGCAGCACATTGCAGATGCAAAACTACTGTGCAGTGACTGGTAAAAGGCACGCACCAGCATGCCACATCCTAATCAAACCTCAGCTCCAAGCTGAGCTGGTTCAAGGATCTCTCGTTATGCCCTGTGTAACAGGAGCATGGATGACTCCAGATGTTCCAGCAAAGCATTTCCACCACGTTGTCTTTTCTCGAGAGTGAGGTTTGTCCCATGCTTTTTGTTTTCTTTTATCCAGCCTGCCATGCACTTGGAGTTCAAGGGTTTTAGAATTAATCATCTATGTGGAAATGGTGTGCAAAGCATTTCTGAGTTAGAGTCAGGGGTTGTGACAGCAGGATTTGTTTCCTTTTGTATTTGACAAATCTGCATTGTGTGTCCACCCTGAACTTGTGGGTGGCTGACTTTCATCTTGTGTTATCTGGCTGTTTTACTTTCAAGGCATATTGTTTGCAGAAGTCTCTTGATTTCTGTACTTGGTGGTGCTTGCAGAGAAAGCACTTAGGTTTGTACTTAGTAGGAACTTGGACTCGTACTGAAATCATTTCATCAATTTGAAAAAGCTTTTTGCTTTTTGTCTGGAGATTTCCCTTTTTTGTTTCTTTTATCCTAAGCAGTTTTTTTTTCTATGAAAACCTTCTTTATCACTATGTGAATTACTTGGACTGTCTCAGTGTTCTTGAATGCATGTAGCTTATGATGCTTTACAGCTGTTTTTTTGTAGGTGTGCATCTTTCTCTCCCACGTGCAACTCCACAACGAACTAAAATTCCACAAAATAGCTCATATCTCCCTTCGATTTCCAATATGGGTTGTGAGCTGTAGTGCAGGGAGGTGGGCAACCTGCCCCAGGAAAGAGCAAGAGAACTCAGAGGAGTGTAAGAGAGAAATTCAGGTTGCACTAATGCCTACTAAGTTTGAGGACAAGAAGATATTTTAGCCATGATAGCAAAATTTGTAAATGAGACAGTGTGCCAAAGTCTACGGGACAGAAGCTGAATTGTTGTGAGAGGACAGGGCTAGTTCAATGGGCCTCCGTAGTGCCGACATAACTTTTGCAGGTTTCTGACATGCCAGCTGAGAACCCTTTTTTTTTTTTTTTTTTTTTGCTCCTGCCTTCCCCGTGACCTAACTGATCCTGTCTGCTCTGTGTGCTGTCAGGCCCCTTCCTAAGGAAGCTGTTCCCTCCGCAGCTGTGGGCGCGTGCCCAGCATGCCTTCCCTGGCATCTGCCCTGCCGTAGCACCCACATCCCTGATGCCTTCCAGGGAATGTGTAATTTGTCACCTGAATTTGTCTGGGCTGGAAATTTCTGTCCCAGATCTGCTTATTAACTCATACCTGCCTTTAAAGATGTTGCAGCTAAACCAGTTTTAGAAAGTGGACTGGAAGGAGTAGATCGACTGAGCTCTCGGGCCAATGTAAGCCAGGTAATTTGCATTAAACATAACACTAACAGAGACTGATGTGGTACATTCAATATAGAAAATTTGGCTAGCTTGCTTCTTTGAAAATCCCTGGATACAATATTCTAGCTCCCCTAGAGGCAGCTTTAAGCCAACTACTGCTGCCATCCAGCTTTGTTCCAAAACGAATTGGAAATACTGGGTGAACCAGGATCGAAGGGTTTAAACTTCTTTTACTATCCCTTTTTTGTAAAAGAGTAATGGCTGATGCTGTAAAACTGGGTCAGCAGAAGCACTTGGGATCATACCTTCCACCATCTTTATAGCTAAAAAGCTGGCCTACATCAGTTTAAAAATAAATTTCTCAAAGGATCTTTACCCTAATCAGTCCCTGTAACCAGCTGCCTAGCTAAGAAGCATTTCTCCTGTTTTAGCCATGAGGAAAAAGAGGGAATAAGCTCAAATCTGGGTTATGAGTTGAGAACGTGTGTTCCCTGGGTGATGTGTAGACTGCTAGACCTGTGCACATCAAGGGAGGTTATTAGGCTCAGCTGGGAGCAGGTGCAGTGCAGCAGGAAGGGCTCTGTACAGAGGAACTGGTCATGCTGGGAGGTTTTACCCCAGGCTGGCTCTGCGCTGGTCTGCTGGGCTGAGTTCATGTTAGTTATTGTAGTACATCTTCTGGTGTAGTTGCACCTGGAAGCAAGCCTGTCCATGTGCTCGGAGGTGGCTGCACCAAAGCATGGGACAGGACAGACACATGGGACGAAAGCATGCTCCTGATATGAGCTAAAGTTCTGGTGTGGGCACAGCCTTGGCGCGCAGCCTGACATACCGCAATGCCACAGGGCATAAAAGTGCTGGATGAGCTGATCCAGGACCCAGAAACCATTTGAGGGGTGCAGGTTAATTCAGATGCGTTTGTCTGGTCGCAGCACAGCACCGTCTTAGGTGTGAAGATGGTTCCTTGAGGCACAGGTGTCCTCTCCCTGGCAATGCACTGAGCCCCATCGGCACAGCCAGTGCACCTTTTCCATAAGCAGGCAGAAACTTAAGGGCCTTAGGAATGGCAGTACCTTTTAGCAAGGATCCTGATAAATATACTTCAGGATGGCATTTGAATGTTCAGCCTTGTCTTTCCACCAAATGAAACATTGACTTCCCAGTATGCAACCTTGCCAGTCTCGGATTTGTTATCTAATTTAAACTGCATCTTCTAGTGGGATTATGTTGGTTTCCACCAGCTGACAGATGCAGTCATTTCATTACAGTTTCCTTCCCTTTTTAGCTGCATCTTTGGAGGTGATGAAAGCTCAGTTGACCTTTGTGCTCTCTGAATGCATCAGGAGTGAGCACTGCAGAGCTAACCTGGTTTTTAGAGGTTTCTTATCCAACTCTTGTAGTTTGAGTTATGTGGTTACTTCCATTTGCTTCCTTTTAATGACCTTTCTGTACACAATTCCCACTGAGCTAAAAGGTGATAGATTTAGACATTTTATATGAATTATTTCCACAAATTAAAAAAAAAAAAAAAGAGGGACACACCAATTAACTCCAAGATACCAAAGAGGGTAAAAAAACAAACCCTGGCAATTGTGGCTTGAGCTGGTTCACAGAACTGCAGAGGGAATTTTCAATGGCTTTCACATCCTAGGTGGCTCATTAAAATTTCCCAATCAGGGAAAGGTGTCTGAGCTGTGTCGGCTCCGCAGTGATGAATCACCCAACCCCTTAAGAAGGATGGTTCACAGTCTTTTTGTCTCCTGTTGCTGCATTCTTTAGTTTTGGTCCTCAGAAGGGCAGATTTCACCAAGCCTTTGAATGTTTTCATTTTTTACTGAGTGTGGCACAATCTGACCTATATCCAAACACAAAGCCTTGAAGTTGGCTCACCATTTTGCCTTATTTTTCCCCAGTTACCTCTCCCTCCGTTTGACAAGGTAAGGAGCAGAGCCTCTTCAAAACCGTCTACTAACTTTGTGAACTATTTTCTAGCTTTGAATATCCAAACTGTGATATATTTTAATGCTATTATTTAAATGTGCACTGTGAAAGTGAATATAATATTAAGGCTACTTTAGAGAGACATTGTCACCGACTCTTCATGTGGAGAAACCTGGGCTGGCAAAATGCAGGCAGTACCAGAAAAAACAGTACTGAAACAGTTCTTGTAACTGGAATGCAGTTTCACAAATGCTTGAGACTGCTTCTGCTGCTTCTTCCTCTCCACCCTCCCACTACATCAACACTCATAAAACCTTTCTTTGCTTTCTTAAAAATAATTCCTTGTTCAGACAGATGTGATATAATATCACCAGTTTCATTTGCTGTGTAAGGTACTCCTCGCGTTACAAATGTGGCAAAAAATAAAGCAAGGGCCAAGGTCTAGAATTTAAAATTCCAGTTTTGTAGTCTTTCAGTCATATATATTCCTCATGCTCTGTTAGTATTTTAACCCACTGCATTAAGTAAAGCTGGCAGAGGAATTGTTTTTATGTGATGCTTCCTTTGCAAGATACTTGCAAGTACCTTGACTTTCTAATGTGGGGTTATTTAGCCTTGTCTCTAAACCTCATCTTTTAAAGCCACTCTCTTTAATTACATTTCAAAGCACAATGCTTTCATTACTAAAGGCTAACAGTTAATGCAAGAATCAGAGTAGCTATGTTTGTATGCCATTTTCATAGATTTGCTCCTATTCCAATAAGTAATCAGTAAAGGAGTAAATACTTTGTGAAGGAAAAAAAAATTACCTAAGCTGTAAAATAAAACCACAGCCACATTTAAATAAGAACAGGTTAATGTAGTTCGCCGAGGAGGTGGATCAGTGGTAGTGTGTTAGAAGTTTAGTGCATGTGATCTGAGCTCCTTGTATTTTCTTTCAAAGAGGATTTTCTGGACTATGTGTTGTTTTTACACAAGATGGAGCTGGTATAACTCCATAACCTCACTGGGATTGCTCCAGCTGTAGCATCCACGTGTAATTAAGGTCAAACTCAAGCCAACACCTTTTAAAATCCTTGGGTAGGCAGTGCTGAGCCAGGGATTCTGTAATCCTGAAGAGGCA